GAAAGCATACATGACAGATGACATGCAACTTCTGCTTAAAAACCTCCATAGAATCTTCATCAGATTGCTCACTTGCACCATGTGCTTAATTACTTCAACCAATAAGAAATTATGTATCCGCACAAATTCTTGCCTTTTTGCAAAACTTTTTTTTTAAAAAAACTAATTCTGGCCCAGCTCCCTGGTGTACCTTGATGCAATATTTAGTTTTGCACAATAGTTAAGCAGCCTTGTTAAAGGGAGAGCTGACACTTAATGATAATAAAATATTTATACCAGCAAACATTCCATAAACACTCTTGGCTTATCCTTATGCAAATCACCTCTACAGTTGGTATAAACTTTCAGAAAGCAAAGCGAGCAAAAGCAGCTGAAAACTCAATAATGTAGATGAGGCCAATCTGAAAGCACTTGAGAGGTGATTCAGAATGCATAGATTTTCAAGATTGTTGGTAATACAGTAAGGGTGAATACTCAGTAACACAGCATACAAAAACTGCTGGGGAAAATTGCTTTAAGAGAAAGTAAGGCAGTGCTCGACTATGTGACTGTCTTCCAGATGTTGTAGGCTGCAACTTGCATCAGGCTCAGTCAGTACTGCCAACCATCAGGATTTATGGGATTTGCAGTCCACGACAGGTGGAGAGTGCCACACTGGAGTAAGCACTGAAAAACAGCAGACCAGAGAATGAAAGGAATCTCCTTAACATTTACATCTTCAGTGCGAAGCAGAAGGAAGTCTATTTAGCAACCTGCTGCCACTATGTCCGATTTACTAGAGATGTAATCAAGCATCTTTCCTAATGGACATAAATATTTTTGATAGGTGTCTGATGGGCCACCTATGATAGGTGTTTTCCAAAACTGATTTGCCTGAAACAAACAAGCAAGACTAGCCTATAAATCTGATTTTATGAACTGCTATTTTTTTTTTTTTATAGTTGATATTTATTGAATTTTCAAAAAATAACAACAAAAATTTCCAAAAAAAAAATTTAAGGATACAAAAAAACAAAATTAGTGCATAAACAAAAAAGAAAAGAAGCTAATGATAGGCTTCCGGGACGCCGCGGCCACGGGAAGGAGCGCGAGGCAACTCGTCTGAGGAGCCTCGAACAGCGTGGGGGTCTTAGAGGGGTCACGAAGGCTCCGTGAACCCCTAAACCACAGGTGGAATATCCTGTTGGTCAAAACACCCAGCAAGGCTGCGTGTGCTCGCCTGTGTTGCCGGCGTTTAACAAGGCTGGAGCCGCAGCGAGAAGGGAAACATCAGACTCCATGCTGTGAAGCCTCAGGCTCCGAGTGAAAGCGGCGGACCTCCAACAACAGAGGAAAAGCTGGGAAATAGTTCTAAAGCTTTGATGAAAGCAGAGGAGGGAGAACACTGGAAAACAATCAAAGTAAAAACAAAAGGAACGTTGAATGAAGTTGAATGAAGTACCCAGCGGAGAAGTAATTAAAGACAAAGGAAGGAGGAATTCACTACTGGCGGTAAGAATGATAAAGGAGTAAAGCGAAAAGCTGGCAGACGTGAATGAAAGAGCAAGAAAGTAACCGCTAGCGAGGGGAGGAATATCCTCGATAATAAAGTACATTTTACAAAGTACAAAGTACAAAGAGTTGGAAGCAAGGTAATACTGAGTTTTCTTCTTTTTGATAGAGACTCTTTACCGGGTTTGAGAGGAGGAAAGGAGGTTTCTGGGGCATTTGGTTGATGCTTTAACTGACAGGTTTTTTGAGGACGTTATTGTTAACATCAACTTTTTGTTTGAAGTGGGTGGAAGAAAGCATGGGTCTTCCCAGACCTTAATGTTGGTTTTATGTTAGTGACTTCCCTATGGGTATAAAAGGGAGGAGGAAGCCATTTCGAGACCTAACTTGGCTTTGCTATCCGCCATTCCATCTTGTCCTTGATCTACTACGCCTCTGCATGTATTTGAGATTTAAAGGGACATGCGCCAAAAGCCAAATAGGAGAATTTAAACCAGCATAAAGAACACTTCCTGAAGAACTGCCAAGTCTCCAGTAAAGAAAAATTTTGGTGACGCCAGACCTCTATAATACCACCCTCTAAGAGGACAAAGACTGTAAAGGTAAAGATTGTAAAACTTTGTGTATAGCCTGATGTGTGATGCCTAATATCTGCTATTATACCCCAACACCAGACCCGGTAACTTATTAACCCATCAGAGATTATCGGTGATCCTGTGCCTCATCCCTTTTTGAATAACATTAGTGTGGTGGACCCCAAGACCTTTCAAGCCTACAAAATGACAAACGGTGCAAAAAAAGGCGTGGCAACACCAGCGGAAAGGAGGTCGTCGAGGCAAGAAGATGCTAAGGAAAGTAAAGAAATTAAAGACTATAGCAGTCTGATGGCCGAAATAAGGAAAGAATTCAAAAATAATGAACAATATATTGAGAGAAAATTACTTGAGGTACAGGACACTTTGGATAAGAAATTGGAGGGAGTGGTGGGGGAATTGACAGGAAAGGTTAAAGATTTATCAGTAAGAACTAAGGTTTTGGAAGATTCAATGAAAAAGGTGCAAAAAGATACGAAAATTAGTAAGAAGGAGGTGGATAGAATTAGAGTAGAAGTTAAAGAGATAGAAAGAGTGCAGGAGGAGTTGTTGGACAATATGGCTATGACGCAAATGAGGCAAAATCAAACCAACCTAAAACTGAGGGTGTACCAGAGACCCCAAATGAGAATATTAGATCTAAAATGATAAAAGAGCTGGCAACTTGGTTAAATAAGAGCGAGGAGGAGGTAAACTGCCATTTAGTAAATATTTTTCGAATAAGACCAAAATCAGACAGAGCCAGAAAGAAAAAGCTGCCAGGTGATGTAATTGTCATGTTCAACACTTTGGAAATAAGAAATGAAATACTGCAACAGAACCACATAAAAGGTTATATATTGGAGGAAGCCCAATTATTATCTTTAGAGAAATTCCTTCGAGATTTCTTCGAAGGAGAGAGCCATACAAAAATTAACAAACCAATTGAAGAAGAATGGGATATTGTATAGATGGGAGTTTCCCGAAGGCATTTCATTCTACTTTAAGGAAAAAGGTTTAAATTAAGCACCAGTATTGAACTCCAAAAATTTGCGAGGAGATACGAGAAGGACCTGGGAAAAGTTGAAGGGGAGGTGGAAAGGGAGGAACGACAGAGAGACGAGGAGGGTGAAGGGAGTGAAGAAGAAGAAAAAGAGGAGAGCTTAACAGGAGAAGGAGAAGAACAAGAGGAGGAAAGCAAGGAACAGTAGTCTCTATTTAATCTAGTTAAATTAGCTAGAATAGTTTAATAGATGGCTTTAAAAACAATAAGCTGGAATGTCAATGGTTTGAACAATAAAAATAAGAGGAATCAGATTGCACATGTATTGTTGAAAAGAATTGGGATTTAATTTGTCTTCAAGAAACGCATGTTATAGGAAAACACAAGAGAGTATTAAGTAATAAGAGATTGGGATTGGACTTTGTGACCTCCGACAAGGTTAAGAAAAGAGGGGTAGTAATTTATATAAAGGAAAAATATGACCCGCAACTACTGTATAAAGATGAACATGGGAGAGTAGTGGTGGTACAGATGGTGTTTCATGGAGAAAAATAGTTGTGGTTGGAATATACGCCCCGAATGAGAAAAAATCAGCTTTCTTTTTGGAATTAGATAATATACTAATGGAATGGATGGACCAGAAAATGATATTGATGGGAGATTTTAATGGGGTGGTGACGCCGAATATGGATAGATTAACAAAAAGACAAGATGGGAAAGAAGGTAAACTACCACGATCTTTCTTCGACATGGTAAATAATTTGGGATTGACGGATGTTTGGAGGTTTAAAAACCCTACTGCAAAACAATTCACTTTTTTTCAAATCCGAATCAGAGCTGGGGGAGGATAGACAGTATTTGGGTCTCGAGGGAATTGGTACAGAATTTAATTAAGTCTGAAATTTGGCCTCGAACTTTATCTGATCATAGTGCGGTTTCCATGGAGTTAAAAGGTAGAGAGGTTAAAACAGCCAGATGGAGAATGAATGAATATTTATTCAATGATCAAAGGATAGTAAATAAGGCTATAGAAACAATTGAAGAATACTTTAGGTGGAATTTAAATGGAGAAACTTCCATAGAGATGGTGTGGGACGCAGGAAAAGCGGTCATGAGGGGTTTTTGATTCAGAAAAATACCCAATTAAGAAAAGAAAAAGAAAAAAGAAAGAGCAGATTTTAATACAGATTATGGAAAATGAAAGAAAATTAACTGTTAACCCTAGTGAAGAGAGTTTAAAACAGAACTTAAAAATACTACAAGCTAAATTTGCTACAATAATTAACCAAGAGATAGAGTGGAAAATTAAAAGGATGAATCAAAAGAACTTTGAGTCCGCAAATAAGATAGGGAAATATCTAGCGTGGCAGTTGAGAGAAAGGAAGAAGTTGAATACGATCAGTAAAATAAAAGAAGGAGATATGATTATGGAAGAACCAAAAGAAATAAAAAGAATATTCCAAAGATATTATAAGGATTTGTACAAAAGAGGAGAGGAAACAGAACAAGAAATAGATCAATTTCTGCAAAAACACCATCTGGAACAAATTGTAGAAGATGAAAGAGCAGCACTAGATGAGATAATAACACAGGAAGAGATAAAAAGGCTATTAAAAAGATGAAAGCTGAGAAGGCGCCGGGACCGGACGGCCTTCCGGCCAAATATTATAAAACATTAATTAACCAAATATCACCAGTGCTGGGAGAGGTTATGAACAATATATTGAGAGAAGGAAAGATACCTAATACCTGGAAGGAAGCCTATGTTATATTGATCCCTAAAAAAGAGGTGGACACTATGGAAGTAAAGAACTATAGGCCAATCTCATTATTAAATAATGATTATAAGCTATTTGCAGACATAATGGCGGAAAGATTAAAGAAGGTCTTGATTAATAAAATTCATGGTGATCAAACAGGATTTCTCCCAGGGAGACAATCACGGGATAATGTAAGGAATTTGATTGACATTATTGAATACCTGGACATGAAAATAGACAGAAAAGCCGCACTGGTTTTCATAGACGCCGAAAAGGCATTTGATAATGTTTCCTGGAACTTCCTAAAGAAGGCTTTGGAAAGGATGGGAATTGGCGAAAAATTTAGAAGAGGCATAGAAGCAATATACAAAGAACAGAAAGCAAAGCTGGTGATAAATAACAATACAACAGAATATTTTAACATTTATAAAGGGACCAGACAAGGTTGCCCCCTGTCCCCCTTATTATTTATTGTAATTTTGGAAGTACTTAATAAGAGACTGAGGGAGGCAACAGAAGTGAAAGGAATTAGAGTAGGAAAGAAGGAATTCAAAATTAAAGCCTTTGCCGACGATATTGTTTTGACTTTGGAAGATCCACAAGATAGTGTAAAAGAAGCATTACAAAAAATTGAGGAATTTGGAGAGGTGGCAGGTTTTAAGGTAAACAAGAATAAAACTAAAATGCTGGTTAAAAATCTAACTAAGGAAGAAACGAAAGATCTAGAACAAAAAGTGGAAATCATGGTGGTGAAAAAAGTGAAATATTTGGGAGTGTGGATTACGGCAAAAAACATAAACCTATATAAAGATAATTATGAAGTTACATGGAAAAAAATAAAGAAAGATCTGGAAATATGGGGGGGATGAAATTTTCCTTTTTAGGGAAGATAGCAGTGGTTAAAATGAATGTTTTGCCGAGGATGTTGTTTTTATTTCAAACTCTTCCAGTTATTAAAGGTCTAAAACAATGTAAAGAATGGCAGAGAACCCTGATGAAATTCATCTGGCAGGGGAAAAGACCAAGGATTAAAATGAAAATACTAATTGATAAAAAGGAAAGAGGAGGTTTTGCCCTCCCAGATTTGAGCCTATATTATGAAGCAGCGTGCCTACTTTGGTTAAAAGATTGGATAAAATTGGAGAACAGAGACCTACTGGATTTAGAAGGTTTCAATAACCGGTATGGGTGGCACGCATATCTCTGGTACGAGAAGGTGAAAGTCCACAGGGCTTTCTTAAACCATATTTTCAGGGGACCAATATATCAGGTCTGGGAAAGAAATAAGAACCTTCTCGAAAGAAAAACACCATGGTGGATTTCACCAGTAGAGGTCTTAACAATAAAAAAAACCAACATGGAAGGGAAGACAGCCACCTACGAAGATTTGCTAAGAAAATCAGAACAAGGGCTTAAACTTAAACCGTATGAGGAAATAAAGGATCAATTCACCGGCTGGTTACAATATCATCAGGTGAATGATATGTTAAAACAAGATAAAAGAAAAATGGGCTTTGAGGACAAGAAATCAAAATTCAATATAGAAATAATAGAAGGCAAAAACAAAACATTGTCTAAATTATATGACATATTACTGGAATGGCATACAAAAGACGAGGAAGTCAAAGAGGCAATGATTAAATGGGCAATTGACTTCGGTTATAACATCGAGTTTGAAAAGTGGTTGAAATTGTGGAATAGAGACATTAAATTTACGGCCTGTACGAGTTTGAGAGAAAATGTTTGGAAAATGCTCTATAGATGGTATCTTACGCCGGCAAAATTGGCTAAAATCTATAGATCAGAAAATAAGACATGCTGGAAATGTGGTGAAGGGGAGGGAGACCTCTACCATATGTGGTGGCAATGCAGCAAGGTGAAGGTTTTTGGGAAGCAATTTATAATGAACTTAAAAAGTTTTTAAATACACTTTTCCCAAGAGACCTGAGGCCTTTTTGCTGGGAATAATGGGTAAGGAAATAAAAAATGAAGATAAAATATTTCTCTATGCCACCACAGCCGCAAGAATTATGCTGGCACAAAACTGGAAAATAGAAACTATTCCTAACATAAGTGACTGGCAGGTCAAAATGATCAACTATGCCGAGCTAGATAGATTAACAGGCAGAATACGAGACCAAGACGACCAGAAATTTCAAAAAAATTGGAGTAAGTTTTGGAAATATATTGGAACGGATATATAGGAGGAACTGGCGGTATTAGAAAAACTTTATCAGCTAATAACTATAAACTTTAATAAACTAATTACGCAACCCGGGACTTATTTGATACTTACCAAAAGGGTGAAGGGAAGTCAAAGGCTAAGGAGAGCCTAATGGTTATATTATTATTTTTGTATGAACATATGCTTTCTTTTTGTATAGTATGAAAATAGGATGAATAATTTATGTTAAAATGTTTATTTTTGTATTTGTTAGTTCTTTTTCTTTTCTTTATACAAATTCTGAATAAAAATTTACTTGCAAAAAGAAAAAAAACCCAGCCGCAAAGAAAAAAAAGAGAAACAGAAAAACAAAATATAAAGTCCTTTACAATCTCTATTGACTTCCTTTCTAGACTTCCTCCTCCTCCCTCTTTTGTTTCTTAATTTTTAATTTTTACAGCAAATCCTTTCTGTTTTTCATAACAATCTGTCATTACGTTTCCTTATTCTATTTTCCCTCTTGTCATATAAAAACTTTAAAACTCATAGCTTATATTCAATATTTACCAAATTCTTGCATCATTACCTTTTTACGAATCATTTACCAATCCTTACTTAAGTCATGTAATTTCATTCAACATCCTTCAAACATTTGTAAGCATTCCCAATATTAAAAAGTAAAAAAGAAAAATAATAAGTCAAATTCAGTCCAGTCAGCTTCCAACCTCCCTCCCCTGGACCCGGGATTGTCAGTCCTTTTAACCTCGGTAATCCGGCTCCTTAACCTGGTTGTCTCGTATCCGAGGCCCTCAAGTCTCTTTCTTGCCCCTTTCGCCACTCTTGTTGATGATTCCTTTCCAGTCGTGGATGCTCCAGCAAGAAAATGCTTTTGACCCTTTGCAACAAGTCCATCCCAAACCCATTGCCCAAGCCAGACAGCAAATAATACCACTTCAAATTTCCACAAAGCTTGGAGACTTCGGCTACTCCAATCCTCTGATAGCCCATCACCAGACTCGGAAGGTCCAAATAACCATATGGAGGGGTCGATCCATCCCCCATTTCCAAATCTGACCACATTTCATCTTTCCAGATCTGGTTTGTCCCAAGTTCATTTATCAAGTTCAAAGGCTGATCTTGCCCGTCCAAAGGTCCCTCCATCTCTGAAGCCTCCGTCACTACAGCAGGTTCATATGCTTGTATAGCCTTTAACTGAATTTCATTTGTTTGCTGCTGTGCTCTGGTAACTTCCATCATCAAGGTCGTCTCCTGACGCATCTGGTCCAGCTGGGCACTTAGTTTTGAAAAACCTTCCAGGAACAATTGTTCAAGCCTTTGTACTAGCATTGTCCTTCAAGGTCAAAGAAAATTCTTTCCCACGAGAATAGTCCAATAGTCCTTCTCTTTTAATCTCTCTGCGTTGCAATTTCACTAAATTCCACTAGATAGAGTTTTTTTTTTTAAAGGAATAAAAGCAACAGCAACAATCTTTCTTTTTCCAGAAACACTTTATCCAAAATTCCCCCTTCCAAATTCAAGAGGCAACAGTAGAATCAAAATGTTACCCTTCTTTTAACTAACTGTCGAGCTGGATAAACTTCAGAACGTCAATTCTGACAGCCCGCTCCTGGTTCAGGGCGGTGGAAAATTGCTTTATTTTAAACTCACTTCTGCAGGATTGAAAAGTCCAAATACAACCCCTTTTTCTCCTGCAGTCAAAGGGGTTCAGAAATCTTAGATGTTGAATTCTAGTTCTCTTAAAATTTAATTTTCAGGCTTTAGTATATTTTGTCTTTGCTTTCTTCACATAACAAAAGAACGGAAGGCGACTTCCTGTTTAGACCTTCCCATTCCGAGTCCCAATTAAGTTCAATTTCAAGTCCAATATTATTTGTTTATTCACCAGTCTTAAAAGTGGTTCAGCTCTTCCAAGATCAGGTACTCACGGATAGATGTTTTAGATGCCAAATTGTCCAGGAAAAGGCAGCGCTCTCCGATAACGGCAGTGCGGCTTTGCTGCACGGAGGAAGCAGACGACTCACAGCACCACGCACCTCCCACTCCGGGCCCGTTACCGGGCTCCTGGCCTAGGGGAGAGGCGCTCTCGGTGCCCGCCGAGTCCCACGTCCACAGGCTTCTTCCGCCTGTGGTTTTGCGGGTCCCTGCTGCGCCGTAGCGGCAGGACCCAAGCCTCCGTGCAGCGGGTTCCCTTCAGTCCGAAGGGAATTCCGCCATTTTCCGGAGGCGCCACCCCGGAAGTCTCCTGATTTTATGAACTGCTAAAAGAAATGTTAAGCGTGGCAATATTGTTATTTATAGTAAATGTTTTACATTTGTTGTTTAACCAGTGTAATAATAATACACATTTCAGAAATTTAAAATACAAAGTTTTTTAATTTTTCTTAAATCTACAAATCTCATTGGGTTCACTTCAGGATCAGGTAATTCATCTGCACAGAGAATGGTGTATAACATCTTGTGCAATTCCTGAAAATTAGCTGGGAATAAAACCGCATTGTGTGACACCCCACTGGCTTTGCATCAGTTCCGCTCATGATAACAATTTGCTGTTTATATGCATATTATTCATCTGAAAGCAGGGGCTTGGAATATCCATTTGAAATGCTGTCGAACCAAGGCACTCTGTGAGAATTGCAGGTCAGAAGTAAGCCCCACTGGAAAAACAACAGCATCCTCTAATGTGAGGTGCTCAATGGAACTGAGCCAACAGTCTACAAGAATAGAAGGCAAGCTGGTAAACAGCCAGGTACAGATGCAACTGCTCTCCTTTCTCAGGGATAGCTGCTACTCTCCTGATCAGGGCTGGGTTGGGTGGTGATGCACACGGCTGCACTAGCAGGACCACCACTGCTAATCCAGTGCTGCCACCAGAGCATCTACCTGGCCTTGACATCACCACTCCGCCACATCCAGGTAAGCAGCACAGGTGTCTGTTTCAGGAGGGTGAATCCTCAGCTCCACCACAACACAGGTGCTGCTACTGGCTAGTTACTCACCCAGTTTACCTGTGACAAGTAAGAAAGGCACTTATGTGACCATGAAGAGGAGGTTTCATACACTAGAACAGGACTGAAGAGGAGCCCACCACCATAGGAAGGGGATCACCAAAGGCCACTTGGCCAGAGCTCCACTAAACATGGGACCATCCCTTTGTGGCTGTGTGTGGGAATCTAGGATAGGCTGTTTTGTTTTTTGTAAGGCTGGTCTAAGCGTATTCTGAGAGGATCAAGCCAAATGCATCTATTTAATAAAATGTTTGCTACCTCCACCTTTCAGTTTTACAGTTCCCAAAGTTTATAGCCCAGAATTAAAATCCATTTTTTTAAAATGAAAATGCAAAGGAGCAGCAGGCAGATTTTTAAAAGAGCAGCAGCAGAGGTCTAGGTAAAGGTAAAGGGACCCCTGACCGTTAGGTCCAGTCGTGGACGACTCTGGGGTTGCGGCGCTCATCTCGCTTTACTGGCCGTGGGAGCTGGCGTACAGCTTCTGGGTCAGCGCACGGAAACGCCGTTTACCTTCCCACTGGAGCGGGACCTATTTATCTACTTGCACTTCATGCTTTTGAACTGCTAGGTTGGCAGAAGTGGGGACTGAGCAACGGGAGCTCACCCCGTCGCGGGGATTCGAACCGCCAACCTTCTGATT